CATATTTAACAGGTGCCTGAGGTGTTTCTTCTGATCTGTCCTCTGCGCCTTTTCCGCTACTGGGCTTCTGCTCATCCATCCTTCTAGACTTCCCTCAGTGGTCACCACCTCCAGGAAGACCGCCTGATGCTCCACCTTCCCATAATACTGACAACAGTAGCAACATGTACTGAGCCCTTCCTGTGGTCCAGCAGTGTCCTAAGGACTGGGGGTGGTGACTCCTCTAAGTCCTGGGAGGGGTGGGGCTCCGGTCTCACCATCGCTAAAGAAACTGTGGTGGATGCTCCTCAGCCAAGAGAAAGCTCTCGGGAAGCACAGAGAGGCTGAGCAGGTTGCCCGGAATCACACAGCACGTCTCAGAGCTGAATTCTGAACCTAGGAGTGGCCCTACAGAGTCCTCCCTCTGTCACCTGATGTGGCCAGGTCACACCTGCCAATGTCATGGTCACCGGTGGGCTGGGGGCTGACTGGCTTGCTTCCTTCCTCCTCTGCTGGGTACTGAACTCCAGAAGGCAAGCACCTGACACACCCAGGGTGCAGTGAAGGCCATGTATGCGCTGCGAGCCTAGTGAATGTGTGTGGCAGGAGGAGGGGTGACAGGAGCCCCCGGCGAGTGCAGGAGGGTGGTTTTGGGATGAGAAGTAAAGGATGGATCAGGTTAGATGTAAGCAGAGGTGTCTTGGCGTTCCCAAAAGAACCACCCTGTCCTTCTCTCTGGCAGGTGCAACCTGGCGCCAGTGCAGGAGTACGCCCGGGACGTGGGGCTCAAGACAGACCTGGTGACCATGAACCCCTCGGTCATCCAGCGTGCCTTCGAGGACCTGGTCAACGCCACGTGGCGGGAGAAGCTGCTCCAGCGGCTGCACAGCCTCAACGGCAGCATCCTGTGGATCCCCGCCTTCATGGCCAGGGGCGGCAAGGAGCGTGTGGAGTGGGTCAACGAGCTCATCCTGAAGCACCGCGTCAACGTGCGGACTGCCTACCCGTCTCTGCGTCTGCTGCACGCTGTCCGCGGGTGAGCGGCCCCTCCCGGGGAAGGGGGCTGTAGCTGGGTGGGGGAGGTACTTGGTAGGCAATATTGCCTTCCTACATTCATTTCCATCTCAGCCCTAGACAGTTTTGCTCAGTGGATAGAGC